TCTACCATTAGAAACTTTTCACATTTTCCTTCCCTTTCCACTCACTTGTCTCTAAAAAGGTCCCTGTAGGAAGGTGCTTTGAGGGCTGTTTTGAGCCAGCTCTGGTTGCCACTTGCAGACTCTGTTCCCCCAGTTTATATTCCATCGTACCGTAATCTTCAGCTTCCACGCTTGGAAGTGACTTTTCCGTCAATGGGTATGGTAGGGAGTTTCCTGTCGATAATGATCCTATCTGCTGTCTCCAACCTTATCCCTCCCAGCCCGTCTCATGGAATTTGTAATGTTGAACATCGACTCACTCACCACAATAGCTGCTCCTTAACTTTTTATTTAAAGAATAGTAAGTTGAAATGGGTAATACAAATGAGGCCAAATACCAGACTGTGAGCTGTATGGAATCTCAGAGGTGATTCTCGAACGGGAAAAAAAGAAAAGGCTTGTTTTTGTTTTGACTTCAAAGGCCTTTTATTTCTTAATTCAGGATTTTTCTATCAAGTTAGTGCTTCTATTCCCTTTTTTCCATTTCCCCAAAGCATTCCCCATTCTATTCCCGGCATTTCTGCTGCCAGAAGCCAGCATTTCTCTATGATTAAATTCCGTGCCTATAGGTTTTGCTAATTATTTATTGCTTTTGACTCCTGTATTAAGCCTCCTTATCTCTCCTTGTCTTTCAGAAAAGGTTTTGTTGCTCTGTTCGTAGGGAAAGATGGCAAAATTTGAGATGTTATAAAACAGTGATTTTCTAACTGAAGTAACTTCTGCATAACATGTAGATATCCAAAACTGTGATCTTTTAACTGATCTTTTTTAAAATAAATCCTTTATTCTGAGTGTAAAAGTTTTACTATTTTAATCTAGCAGGATGAAAATGTATTTAAGCCTTTTAACATATGGTTTCCTCTCCTAATACAGTGATTTTTTTCAGCTGTGGATGAATTCTATGAGCAGTGTGTGTATAAAATGTTGTTTACCAGTTTTATATTTTAGAATAAGTTTTTTTTAAGAGAAATTTGGCAAGCAGTTATTCTTTTTAGTTTGCAGTTATTGAAAATGTAGTAGCTGATTATTTTAAAGACTGGTTTGATAATGCTCTGAATAAAGCTTTTTTTTTTTTTTTTTTTCAAACTCCAAAGAACCTCTTAGAACCTGAGCATAATGGAGAAGCAGCATTGGAAGACTCCATAGAGCAGTCTGACCTTAGTTCAGCAGATATTAGTGATTCTGATACTGGCAATATTAGGATTCCAGTCTTGAATATGCTTTTATTTTAAACACTGATCCTTGAGGAAATTTTAGTAAAACTTTTTTTGTTTTTTTTTTCTGTCTGTTTAAAAGCAAAGCTCAATAGCAGATTAAAGTTGCAATTAAGTAACTTAAGAGCTATCCTCATCCTCCATAGACATCAGAAAAAGCAGACTATTGAGAAACACTCATTATATTCCTACAATAAACTTAATCATAAGCTTTTGAGATAACTTGAATCTGTAAGTCATAGTGTTGTCTCTGACTCCCCTCTCCTGAGGCAGCTGTTTTTAAGGAGGCTTTCCAAGTATAGCACTGGCTTTTTTGTACATCCTTTTCTCTTCTTGGTGCAGAAAAGGCTTAGTGCAGGTTTAGTCCAATTAAGAAGTTAGTGGAAACAAAATTATGTTGTATAGGATTTGAAATTTCTATCTAATATATGAACATTGTGGCTACTTGACCTCAGTACTTCTCGTGAAGAACTGACCCTCCCCACCTCTGATTCCACGAGCTTCCTGTATTTGTTTTTAAGCTTCCGAGAGTGTAGATCCTACTGATTATCAAAGTGAAAAAGACAACAGGGAAGAGGACATCATAGAGAAATTAAGGCATTCCTTGGAATTGTGGAAGGATGTGGAGCGATACTGACTCTGTAGCCTTTATTGGAGGGAGAAGGGAGCACTGGTGCCAACAACTGAGTGGGACTGTGCCTGGAGCGGAAGTATAGCAGAACAGGAGCTAGGAATAAGCTCCCAACTTCAAGATGAACAAAATGTAGTACATGTAGTAGCTAAACAACTGATCTATTGAATCCATTCCAAAAGGAATATGAAACTATCGTGTGGGTCTAAAACAACTGACTGGGCCAGACTAGACAAGTTTGGAAGGCTTGGTTTGGAAGAGAGACCCACTGAGCTTTACTGAGAAGTTTACCATGTCAGACTCAGGAGGCTTCCTGAGTTAAAGATGATGTGAGGTTGCCAGAACACGATCTTCCCGTTGCCCTGTTGCATTGTTCTTACCCTTTCCTTGGCGTTTGCTCATGGCCACTGAATGCTTTTCATTTCCACACTTAATCTGCTTGCGTGTGTCTCCTTTAGAAGACACCATTATTAATGATCATCAGCTTCACAAAAGCAACGTTGCCTTCCTGCTTGTGCTCTTTGACTTCTGATTAGCGTTATGAAATCAAGCACTCCTGGTCATGCTCTCCTAATTATCTACAGAGCTCAAAGTCAGGGACAGGGCTGGGCTCAGCTAGGGCGATCCCTGTAGTTCTGCCCTGCAGCTGTAGCACTGCAGCAATCCATGGGAATATCCATATATTTCTCTAGTTCCCAGGCAACCAGGTAACATGTTCTGCTTGTTAACAGTTGTGGGATTTTTCACTTCAAAGAAAAGTTCCTTAGGCTCATGTTGTCATATGAGTGTTTCAGCATAGAAAATATCTAGAATAGCAACATAACGATTACTTCATTACTTCAGTAACAATTGAAGTTGCTACTATGATGGCTACTTTTTGTCACCTTGAGATTGTTGTTTTACTCACTATAAGCTCAGGTACAGCTGGTTTTGCTGCGTGCAGATTATGTACAGTATTGTTTTAATTAAAATGGCAATTTTGTTTAGATTCTTGTTATTTTTTTCCTTCAAATAGCTGGAATTTCTGTATTTGTATAAAGATATAAAAGCTGTAAAGGTTTCCTTCTCTGTTAAAGTGCTGTATAACTTCTAAAACAAGTACTTGTTGTTTTCCTAAATGTCTTCAAATGCCCAATACCAGCAGTTTGATTTTTTCCTTATTGTTCCTTCTTTTTTTTTACATGACTTATCAATAAAATGAACTACCATAGTCGCCCATGTGATTTCATCCTACAATAAATACAAGGAAATTGTTCTCTGTGTCTACTGGTGCTGACTCAAAGGCTATTGAAATTGAAAAAAAAAATCCCATATATGAGCTATGAATTGGTCTCCACATATATTTTAAAATAAAGATGGAAAAAAAAAAAGTCAGTCTAGTTATAGACTGAAAAGTGCCTCGATTATATGCAATCTAGGGAGCTTAGCTGGAAGCTCTGGCAAACTTATCAGAGGTTGACTGTGCTTGCAGATTCAGCCGTGGGAACCAAGAGATCTAACCAGGCTGTGGTTGAGATCTGTGGATATCGTAGCAAAGGATTTATTTTTTTCCTGTTAGAATGAGGAGGAAATGAGGAGTGGAATAGACTGTCCTTCTGTTCAAATCCTTTTAAATTGAACTTTTTTCCCAACTCAGTAGTGTCTTTGATTTGAAAATAAAGTTTTATATATTGGTCACTCTTAAAATGGGCTCCGTCCATCCATCCATCCATCCATCCATCTGACTGTATTTTGTGGTGGCTTTGTATTTTCTAACCGGAAGCTGTATGTTTGTTCCAAACCAATTTTTAAGGATAAGGTTTTACTTGTGCCAGAATTGCCAAATAAGGAAAAATGGGGTTGTGCACCTACTAAGGACTAAGGAAGGTTGCTGCCTATATTTAATACTACTTGTTAAGATCTTATCTTACAACAACAGCAGACATCATGAGTAGCTGCTGTTTTTAGTACTCCGTTAACTCCTACCTTCTGTCACTGCTGATGGAGCAGAATCTAATCGTGGAATTACCTGCTGCGCATCTTGAAAGGTTTGATGTGAATTAACTGCCAAAAGCAACAGACCAGCTAGTAAACAAGTAGCTTTCCATTATGCGCAGAAGCCCTTGTTTCTAGAGGCAGAAATAAACCGAGAAGTTTGGAAGCCAGAATACAAGGTACCGACCAGGAGCTTAAGTAACTGGGCTTGAGAAAGCATGAACGTAATCCCAGTAGAAATTGTGAATAAAAAGCATGAGCCAAGGCACTCCCCTTTCCAGGAATAGAAATGATGTTGTAAGGGCTGCTCTGATGGAATGCTGACATCTTAAAATGCTGAAATTAAAAAATAAATAATCAAAAAGCTGTCATGGGTCATGTGCTTAACAATAGAACAGGTAGACAAACACATTTTATATACATGTGTTCATTTATTTGATTTGATTTGATACAGACAGGCATCTCAGATGCAAATGGATTTTAGGCGAGTAGGGGAATTAAGTCAAAGGCGTCTTCGTTGGAACAGCGAAAACCCTTTAGCACAAAAAGGGGGGAAAACTCTGCAGACCCCGACCAAAGTAGCGCTGAAGACCACGCTGTTTCTGAGGAACAGCCTTCTCTCCCCGCCCGCGGCTGAGCGCCCGTCGCCGCGGGACGCTGAGGGTAACGGTCGCGCCAACGGCCGCCGCGCTGCGGTAACGGCCGCTGCGGTAACGGCCGCGGCGCTGCGCTCCGCCCCGCCAGG